AAAAAAAAAAAAAAGACCTCATCATTTGACTAAATTAAGACTTGGAACTTATGTTCACCAAAAGGCATGAAAAGGAAAATGCATTTGCAATTCATATAAACAACAAAAGGCTTATATACAGATTAAATAACTAATTGCCAATCAGTAAGAGAAAAGTCAAGGAAAATTTGAATAGGTCACCAAAGACAAACTCCAAAAGCAATACGTGTATGAAAAGGTGCCAAAAAATTGTGATACATCTGAGAAATACAAATTAAAAGAGAATGATACATGATTATCTACCTATCCAAATGGCTAAAATAAAAAAGACTAACAACAAGAAGCTAAGGGGATACAATGTGGGGCACTTCAACCTCTTGCTTTAATAGCAGTGAAAATTGGCATATCCACTCTGGAAAATTACAGTGGTAGAGGAGTGAACTGAGATATGTCAGATATCTTAATGGCAGGGTACAGTTACTGTTATTTTAAATATCAATAACAAATATAAGTGTATATACATAACTTAAAAACAAGCACATTAACAAAGAAAAACAGAGATACCCAATACAACTTTCAACTTAATGGAGAAGGGAAGATTATTAAAAACATGTCAGTGACACTAAGAAAATGGGGATAAAAAGAAGAAACAGTATTTGAGTATATTAGTGTGAAATACAAATAACACCTGACATATACATTGCTTAGTATAAGCCAAATACAGTTTAGGTAATTTTACTTGTATTAACTCATTTAATAGTAATAAGATAGGTACCATTGTTAATCCCATTTTACAGAGAAGGAATCTAGAACACATAGAAAGTTGTTAAGGAACACAGACAATTGATAAGTGATGGATCTAGAAATGAAAACAAACAAAAGGAACAAAGCTTTTATAGATCATTTATCACAATAAAGGTGAATGGGTTATATTTGCCTATGGAAACACAAAAGTTTTATAAATAAACTTTCAAAATACACAAATAAACAAAATCTAGCCATATGTCAACTAATAAGCACAGCTGGGATCCAAATCCTGAATATCTGTCTCCAGAATGATTGCAACTGCTAAAAAAAGACATTTCTTGATAATAAAGATTTCAGAAAAAAAGAAAAGCAAACCACAATTTAACAATAAATACAATGTTATTTAGCACAGATCTCAAGTTTAATTTTAATACTAATAGATATAATTATGAGAATATTCTACACAACTCTTTGGCAAAATAATTTCACAATTTAGAAGAAATCTATAATGTCATACTTCATCAACACATAATGGTATAAATAGATCTTGACACAGTAAGTTTAAAAGTGAGAAAATTAAAGACAACAGTTTTACATAGTTAAAAGCAAAAATAAAAATAAACATTTTATAAATGCATGTGGTGTAATAACACTACACAAAAAGATGATGAAAACAAGAAGATGAGAAATGTGGGATTTAGAATGATGGCAAGTGGACCAAATGGGGAGAGGAGTGGAATAATGTGGTCTCATTTTGAGTTGTTGTCCTGGTCCTGGTTAATGCAGGAGTTTTGAGTTGTTGTGTACTGGCCAATGCATTAATAAGTATCAACAAGTTCTTAGTAAACAGTAACTAAACTAATGTGCTATGAAAGCGATATGCTAGTTCTCACTATCATATAAAATTGTTTTGGTAATTCTAGCTAAAGCAGTAAGATAATAAAATGGAATACATGGTGTGAATATTAGGGAGAAAATTTTTTCACTATCATATAATAGTGAAAATTCTAGCTAAAGTAGTAAGACAATAAAATGGAATATACGATGTGACTATTAGGGAGAAAACTTTTTCATTATTCTTTTGGTTTGATTTTGCAGATGAAAGGCTTATATAACTAAAAAAACCCAAGAGACTAAATTGAAAACTATTTAACTTAATAATCCTTAATAGAAGAATAGTTGAATAATAAAATGTTATGTAACATTTTATGTTATGTTATGTAAATTAGGTATACATGTTTTAATATGAAATAATATCCACGATACATTCTTAAATAAATGGCCTACACAGTTCAATGCTGTTTTTGTAACACCAAACTTTTTCAAAATATACAAATAAATGTTCATAAAATTTATATAATTAGCCAAAAAAGTATGACAATACACACCCCAAACTTTTAACATTGGCCATATTGAATAGCTGTGACAGAATAGGAGGCCAGTAAAAATACTAAATGCTGTAACATCTCAATGCCCTATAAATTATTACAATGAGCCTGTCTTATTTTGTAATTTAAAAACATCATTTTCTAAACATT